GTGGAATTACTGGATGCACGTACTAAACTGTTAATGGGGCTGCAAAATCACCCACTGAAATCGCTTCAAAATTTTATATCTTAACTACAGCACAAAATCCACTTTTTAAAAACTAGGAATCTAGCCCCACAACACAGCCTCTCATTTTCTGGGACATTTACACCTGTCGGGTTGTCCTGCTGAATTATCCTTTCTGTGCCTGTGGCTTCTAACAGGACACAGTCATACATGGCATTATCTAGTGCCCCTGGCTGCTCTCAGAGCTAGAATGTCCAGCCTCCCTTCCTGGAGCTCACATTATGGAAGTAAATGATGTTGACCTGAAACATCAAGCGTCCACCATACCCAGGGGGTCTGCCTGGCCTAGGACCCACGGCCTGGTCAAAAAGCTCGACGTAACTTCTTTGGAACGGTACCAAGTCCGGTCCTCTCCCTCTGGCCCCCAAGAGCATTTTAAATATTTATGTTGTTTCATATTAATTTGAAATATTGAAAGCCCATCAACCACCCAAGGCCTCCTTATTTTTTTTTCAAAAGAAAGGGAAATGCGCCACCCCCACCCCCCACAAAGCGACAACCTGATCTTCTGCCCTCCTCCTTTGGGGATGGGCCTGACTTCCTCTGCAGACTGCTGAAGGGGAAATGGGTGCACCCTGAGGGTCGCAAGGAGCTGGGAGTGTCTCCCAGACAGGGGAGGGGACGTGTGCTGGCAGCAAGGAGGCCAGGGTGGCGGGACAGGCTGCTTTCCATTCCAACTCCTCTGCGTGAATAGAGGGTTTTGTGCGGCCAGCACTCCAGCAGAGCTCGCCATCCCCAGCGGGTTGGGCTTTACTAACCCTCGTGACCGAGGGTGCCGGAAAGCGTTTGGCAGAAGGCATTTGACAGCATTTGCCTGTTTTCTGCTGGGAGCTGCCTCCAGAGGACGTGGCCTCGATTATTTTAGGCTGCGTGGCTGCCGTATCGTGTGTTCTTAGGACGGGGATGGTCTCTGGGGAGATGGGAAGAGGCTCAGGGCGAGGATGAGGTGGAGAGCTCCTGACCCAATTCCAAAAACAAGCCCGACGTCCCGGGGGGCTCAGCACTGTCGGGCAGGTGGCAGCGAGCTTGGTGGCCAAGCCAATGTCCTTTTCCTCAACATCTGCCAGGTGCACACGGCCACTAGAGAGAGGGGACGCACATGACTCCCAGGATGAGAGGCCATGCTGTGGAGCCAGGTCCCTGTGTTTATGGAAAGCACTTTGTTTTTTTACTGCAGGTGAAGGCGTAAAATGGTAAGGTCATTGGAGAAGGCAAGCGCGCAATCCCATGACCGTTTTCTGTGTACAGGAGAAATACTTCAGCAGGCGTGCAAGGGGGACAGATGAAGATATTCTTTGGGGCCCTGTCTGTAATGGCAAAGATGAGATTTGGACCCAACCTAAATGTCCATCAAGACGTAAATGGTGACATCAATTGCGCTGCTGCCTTATGGGGATGACTGGGCAGTCAGGGGTCACAGTGAGGTTGTTCCTTGTGGGCTGATGTGGGTATAGCTCCACAGCTTTCTACTGAGGAGGAAGGCAAGGCGTGGATCAATAGTGTGCCGTGCTGTATAACATTTTCACTGCTGTCTGTCTGAATTCTTTTTAAAAAGGAGAAAATAGTAAATTAAAAAATCACAGTTCAGAAGCTTTGATCAGTACATATGCGTGTAAATGCATGGGCAAAGGACAGCACGCATACCCATGTATGTACACACACGTATGTACACACACACATATATGTACTTCTCACTGGTAACTGGCTTGCTCTGGAAAAGGAAGCAAGGAATTACATGAAGAATTTAGCCTTACCTGTAATGTTTTTGTTTTTAAATAAGGAAATGTATTGCCCGTGTAAGTAAAATAAAATAAAAATATGTCTTGATTCAATATATTTGCATCTCGTCTTTTTATAAAAAGCTACATTTTTTAAAAAAGAAGAAGAAAAGGAGACAAAGGAAAGAGAGAGAGAAAATACACAAGCATCAGATTTAGTGCTCAGCTTCCTGGCAACCAGAGCGAAAAAGAGACATAGGACCAATGAGGCCACATTTCCTTTTAACATGGAAGGTGCGTCCAGTTCCTTCTGAGACAGGTCTTACACTAAAATTATATCCTAAAAATATTTACTCGTGTGGAACTTTATATGGGCAGCCACGTGTCCTGCAGCCCAGTTTTAAGTAGACCCTCGCCCCCGCCTCCCTCTCCCACCTGCTCTGTACCACTCTCCCCCTTGCCCACGGGGCTCCAGCCGCACAGGCGCCCTTGTCTCGTTCCCTGACCAAGCTCCTCCTGCTCCAGACCTGGAGAGAGGCAGGTGCTGGGCTGTGTGCCCAGGTTACCCTTCAGGGCTGGGCTGTCCTTCCCCACTGCTGGGAGGGTGGCTCCTGAGGCTGAGTCCCCTCCCTGGGGAGCTGTCCTCAGTGGAACATGAAGGGAACTGCCCAGGGGACAGCCTACATCCAGTGACGGGCCAGGTGGGGGAACAAAGAACTGGATCCATGGCCTCCAGGCAGCCGTCTATGAAGGGCCATCCCAGCTTCAGAGCTCCCCGTGGGATCGCTGAGGCCTCATCAGCCTCTATTCTTGGTCCATCTCATCCCCCACTGCCTTCCCAGGGCCTAGACCAGGCCTAGTGAGATAGTAGGTGCTCAGTAAACATTTCCTGAACTAGTCAATGACTGAAATTCTATCATAAAAATATAATACAAAAGGAATTAAAGGACAATTTGATGTCTGAACAACTGGATGCCTTTGGATGAAAATAAAACTAAAATTTATATATTTTTCAAGCCTGATTTGCCCTTGAAAACCAATATATTATTAAAAAAAAATCCAGTGCCTAACTTTGTGAATTGGAGGATGCAACTTCTTCTGGAACGATCTATGGGTCCCTTTACTTAGAAAACAGATGGTTCGTGTAGAATTACGTCCAGCAGGAAGAGCGCCGACTGCCCACAGTCGGGCAGGAGAGAAGCCCGGCCCGGGGCGTCCTTGTGGGACTCGGCAGGAGGCAGTGTGCTGGGCGACCAGTGAGGGCGGTGGAGATGTACCGGGCACCCGTCATGGCACCACGCACTGTTCAAGTTCAAGCCCTTTATTGTATGACCCACTTCCTCTTTGTGACCACCCTATGCTGCCCCCATTTCACAGGGAGTAGACTGAGGCACAGAGAGGTTAAGGAACTCGTCCAAGGTTGCACAGCTGGAGAGCAGCAGAGCTGGGAGTTAATTCCTGGCCGTCTGGCTTTAGGAGACTGCGCTGTCTCCAGCCTCACCATTCCCAGGCAGATGTCAGAGAATTGCAGGAAAACAAACACGGACAAGGTGATTTTCTTATAGTCCCTTTCAAATCTTTTATTCTACCATGTGGCCCTGGCTGGGTGGCTCATTTGATTAGAGAGTCATCCCATACATCAAAAGGTTATGGGTTTGGTCCCTGGTTGGGGCAGGTATGGAAGGCAACTGATTGATGTTTCTTTCCCTCTCTTTCTGTCTCCCTCCATCTCTCAAATCAATAAACACAGCCTTAGGTGAGGATTTTAAAAAAATAATAAATAAAATAAAATAACATAAAATAAAATAAAATGTATACCACGTTCCAGGTATTAGAACAAGAGTATCTATTGATTCCTAGAAACTCTCACTCTCAGTCCCTTACCCGTTGATGTCTCATTTGGTGTCCTGGCATCGTTGGAATTTGTGCAGCCACAATTTAGGGGAACGGTGCAGGGGAGATTTGATCAGGGAAGCAGAGTGAAAATTTAAATAAAAGAAAAAAACAGCAGATGCAATGAGAGGAAGAATATGGGGACAGATCGGGGCAAGCCAGCCAGAAGGCTGGAAGCAGAGCTCTCGAAAACAGCCTCGGCTAACCTGGCGGCCAAACAAGTCAACGGCTGGGACTCTGGTTGGAGAAGATTGAGTTACGGTCCTGAATGCTGTTTCCCTCCCACCTGTGGCTGGATCCGACCAGAGACTCTAATAGGACTTGCTCAGGAAAGCCCATCTGCTTTCCATGCAGACCTGTTCTCTTCTCCATCCTTCCTTCGCAGTTCAAGAGACCCAGCCAGGTTCCTGCCTCTGCCATGTCACAGCTGTGTGTCCCTTCGGGCGAATGACTCAACTGCCTGAGTTTTGTTTCCTTCATCTGCGAAATGGGCCTAGCAACACCAGCTTCCCAGACTTGTGAGCACATCGCCCCTAGCATGGAGACTGGCGCAAAACAGATTCAGGTCCTCCCCCCGCCACCGCCCCCCCCACCGCCAATCCGCCAATGCTTTCTCTTTGCCCTCCCCTTCGTCTGTCAATCCCTTCAGGTCTGCTGGGTTGCACTGCTCGAGGGAACAGTAGCCCTTGATTGACAAGATCCTCCGAGGGGTGAATCCCACGCACAGGCAGCTCTGGCATGCACAGCAACACGATTTCTAAGTAAGGCTCTTAGAGGAGAATTTACCTGCAAACGTCAAACACAAGTGTGGCCACTTAAACAACGTCATGACATGTTATAGTGAATCCAGGGATTCCAAATATTAAAGAGAAAGCCACTCTAGTAGATAATCCTTATTAATGTTAAAATAACTTCGGTGTAGTTGCAAGTCATTATTCCTTCATGGGGGTTCACTGATGGGGCTGAAGAGACCCCCGTTTCCATAGTCTGCCACAATGTTATTAACTGAAGTGACGGATCCCCTTAAAACCAGTTAAAATAGCATCCATGTGGAATCTGGGCCTTGCCAGCATTTTGATGACGGGGAAAAAAAATCTACCCCCCAAATAGAATAAGTATGAAAATTCTAATCTCCAGGCTAGCTCCAGGTTGAGTATTGTACACACACCTGCAAATTAAATTGACTGCAGGTGGGCTACTGAATACCAAGTTATCGTGACAACGTCGAAGGAGCCACGCGCTGCCCTCCCGGCAGAAAGACAGTGGTGCGCACCTCCCGTCCAGAGAGGACTTGCTGCCGCTGGCACTTACCATTGCAGAGTGGCGGGAGTGGAGTGGGGCTTGGAGGCTCGGTTGTTTTCTTTTTCCTCATCTGTTGAGGGAGAGAAAAAGGAGCTCACTTCAGTAGGGAGACATCAACGGCCTTTCAGCTCTCAAAACACTGTTTCCCTCAAATGTCGATGCTTGTTGGCTTTCCCAACATTTTAGACTACTTATCCTTTAATAAGAAAAAAAGAGGGAAACTGATTTGTACAGAAAACCCTTAGACCAACTTGTATTTTTATTTGACACAACATGGTCCAGTTTGAAGAGCTCTCTCTGGTCATCACTGAGTGAGTGAAGGACCACACTCATCCGACTCGTCCCTCTCCCAGCTGGAGCTGGGCGTTGGGCTCAACAGTTTGACCCTACGAACATCCTGACCTCGCTCGGCATTTCCCCCTGTAACTCTGTGGGAACAGAAAGCTAGGGAAAGGTGGGGAGAGTGGGAGTGTCCAGAAGAATCCGGTCAGCAAAACAATAGAACAGGGGTCATCGCACTTTTTCTGGAAAGGGCCAGATAGTAAATGTTTGAGGGTTTTGAGTCCAAGAGGCAAAAATCAAGAATATTATGCAATATTTATATAATGAGAGAAAATAAATTCCACGAGAACTTTTACTGACAAAATTCCAAAGAAGAGCAGTGGAGTACACTTTTTTTGTAATACAGGTCTATTGATGAGAAGAATGTAACTATTTGGGGGAAGCGGGTAACATTTTTTAAGTGGGTTTCAAAGTTCACAATCCCTGTCATCAGGCCAGATTTGACCTGTGGGGGCTGATTTGCTGACCTCTGCCACCCAGCAGTCTGAACAACAGATCAATCTTTGTTTCCCTAAGAATTGTCCATAATGTTATCATGGATCAACTAAGAAATACATATGGTCTCATCCAATTCCTAATGAAGATTTTCATGGAAATAATATAAAATAAAAGTTCTTAATCCACAAAATTTGATGCAAGAAGACGGATACACATAACAGTTTCAAAAGAAAATGAACAATGTCCAAACCTACAAATATAATCAACAAAATTCAATAAGAACGTGGAGAATGGGCAATGAAATAAATCTCTGGTGTAAAAGTTATATGGAAAATAATCTGTACTCATGACAGTAATTAAGTAAAAACAAAAATGTAAGTAAAAATGAAATAAACTATCAAAAATTTAAAAACTAAATTAGCTTAATAAGGTTGAGTTCAGAAAATATTTTCTTGATGAAAATGTGTCAATGTTATTATAACTCAGGTTAAAATGTCTGTCCTTGAACACTGTGGCAGATACTGCTATTGCTTAGCCAACCACTGTACGTACTGACCTTCCTCCACATTAACAAAGCCCCGGGTTAGAGGGGACCATGTGTTCAGTGCAGGTGATCCCCTCGCAAATCCTAGAGCGGTGAATAGTGATTGAATCTATCGTGGTAATTTTATGTCATTTAGCCAGTGATGGATTATGTGGGGCATGTGACACAGTGTCGGCCTATCAGACTTAAGGAGAAGCTCCCTGGGGGCTTCTGGGAAAAATATTTTTCCTAATGAAATGGAAGAGGGGCCAAATTTTGCTCCAAAGTTGAAAATACAAATGTTTGTTGTTTCAGGAAGGAAGGAAGGAAGGAAGGGAGAGAAGAAGGAAGGGAGGGAGGGAGGAAGGAAGGAAGGAAGGAATGGAGGGATGGATTCTGGCCCTGGCCTGCCTTTGAATGCAATAACTGGAGTGAGGCAGTGAACTTTCACCTGGGAAAAGAGCCACCTGAGGACAAAGTCAAGGCTGAAAGGAAAAGAGGAAAATACTGTGGGTCCTTAATGCCTTGTTGTGCCTCTGATTAACCAACCCTAAAAACAACTGCCTCGTGGCTTTGCGAGCTGAGACATTTTTCTTAGTTAATAAAACTTGTTATTAGGCATTCTCTTCCCTGCTACCAAAACCATCCTAACTGATGCAAACACACTCAATGTTCTCAGAGACAAAATATCCCACACTGCATGGGCTCAATACCTGTTCGCGCTGCTTTGTCAACCTGGAGTTCCTTCTAAATGTTCCTCATCCTTTCCAGCTTAGAGTAAATGACACCACCTCTCTGAAGCCTTCCCTGATACGGTCCAAGTCAGGAATTGCTGATCCTAACTCTGTTCTTCTACAACACGTTACTTGTTTCTCAGTTGAACAGTGTTGCCACCTAGATCATTATTTTTGTACATATTCATCTCACTGACTTGAGTGTCCTATTTAATAAGCTCCTACTTAAGGCAGGGATGGTACCTTAGTCACCTTTGCTATCCCTCCTTCCCAATTCCTTCCAACCGGCACTTAAATAGTTAAGTCTGTATTCCACAAATGGCTTCGACAATCCTTAAACAGTACACTAAGGAGCATGAACACATGAATCTCACGAGAATGCAGATAAATAGACACAAAGAACAATGCCCAGTCTCTGCTGTTCACAAAGAAATAAAAAGAAAATGATAAGGCCCAACTTTACATCTATGAAAATAACACAAATTTTAAATAACGATAACTCCCAATGCTGATGTGTAAATAGTAAAACAAGAAGAAGCATATAAACAACCTAAATATACCTCTGCCTAACTTATGCTGGAACGTGATTAACATTTCTGTTCCCCCAAGAACGGGCTGGGTTTTTTACCTCCTCCTTCTTTAAATTTCGGTATTTCAGCCAACCTGGACTAGATTTCAAAGATCCATATTCTAGAATCAACTCAAACACTTGGCCATGACTGGGCAAACCACCCAGCTCTTGGCTTCATTTCTCTTCCCTTATAAAATGGTCATTTTATAGGGCTATTGTACGGATATGAATTCAACAAATATTCATTGAATACCTAATTTGTGCCAGCTGGACACTGGGGATAAAGAAATGAAACTCTTGTCCTTGAGTCTGGTTGGGGAAAGGGAAAGACCAACAGTGCAGAGAGAGGCCAAGTTCAATCAGAAGAGATAAACACTGAGATACAGGTAGGCAAAGGAAGAAAGGGAGGGAGGAAAGGAGGGAGGGAGGGAGGAAGGGAGGAAGGGAGGGAGGGAGGCAGGAGAGGTAGGGGAGGAAGTGGGGGAGGAAGGGGAAGGGAAGCTGCATGAAAAAGCCAGGCCTGGGAGGGAAAGCTTCCTGGAAGAAGGGGCAGGTAGCTAAGCAGGCCAGAGATGGGCATCAGATGGCAAGGGAAGTGAGACCAAGTCAGGGTAGAGAAGGCAAGAGACAGACAAGGACATGGGGATGGGGAAGACCGTGCCACATTCCCAGGCGTGAGGTGGCTGTCACCCAAGTCCTTGTCGGGTGTGGTGAGCCGAGCAAGGGAGCTGGACAGAGAGGGGCTGTTTGACAACCCAGGGATCCCATGTAAGCCCCAAGACAGCTCCTTGTCCCCAGACCGAGGGTAACAGCAATGCCTCCCTCTGAAGGGGCAGGGAGATGAGGTGGGATGAACTGGGCGGAGACTAAGAGCTCAGAATCCCCGGCTGCGGGGCTCCACTCGGCTGAAGCCGGCAACAGTTCTCGTCCTGGGATCCCATCCCAGTGTCTTCGGCGCAGTTGACGCCTGTCTCTGCTGTGTCGGATTTCTCTCCCGACAGAACTCCGTTACGAGCCGTTTCTGACACCAGAGGATGGGAAAGTGACCTGGCTCTGAGGGCAGGCGGACCTGGGTTTGAACCCCAGCTTCGCCCCTAACTCTGTGTGGCGGCTTGACTCATCCAAGCTGAGCTACCTCATCTAAGTGAATCACAACTTATGTCATGAGGGTGGTCTGAAGATGAAGTATCATAATATATGCTAAAGACCAGATTCATTTTTAAAGAATACTAGAACAATAATAATAGCACTTATTGGCCAAATACTCAAGCCAGGCACTGGGCACCACTTTCCACTCTTCCTCCTGGTAGTGCTCGGAAGACAATTTACATGCCCATTTGACGAGTAAGGAAACCGAGCTGCGGCAGGTCTCCTACTTGCATGAGGCCGTGCAGCCAGTGGGTGGAGACTGGACCTCCCTGGGTGCTCAGCAGGTGGCGGCGACTAACGACAGTATTTAGACAAGAACAGGTCGACTCCCGTGCCAACATGGACCTCAGCTCAGCACCGAACAGGTGCCTTCGCCCTCTGCAGGCCCCTTTCTGGACGGCAGCTGACTTCACGCCCAGCGTCTGAGCGCCCAGCCTCTTTCGCCGAAACAGGGTGAACGGAGGGGGGGGGGGGTGTCACACCCAGGCCTGGCCCTCCCATCTGATGGCTCTCCATCCCGTTTCACCTGAAGTGCTGGTGACGCATTCACTCAGGAATCAAGTATTTATTGAGTGTCTGACACATTCTAGCCCTACGCCAGGGGCTAAAGGGTGAGGAAAAACCAGACGTGGTCTCGAGCTCAAATCATCAGCAAATAAAATGTGAGTTCTGCGCTAGAGCTGCGAAGGGCAGGTCCAGGGTGCTGCGGCAGCACCGAACATGGAAAGTGAGCCCAGCCCTGGGGTCTGAGTGAGGGGCAGGAGCCGTCTGGGCAGCGAGGACAGGGGAAGAAGACCTTTGAAGCAGACGGAAATAGCCACAGTGGATGGAAACTTAAGGGACCGGTCCTGCCAAGCGCCCCTCCACTGTAACAGGCAGAAATGCCTCAAGCCAAACAACATTCGTCCCTAAGGCAGAATGTCCGGCCGGACTCCTGGAGCCATTGACGGCACACACGGGACCGTCCACCCTCCACGCCCGCACAGCTCGTCCGACCAAAGCCCTCGAGCGGCCGCCTGCCTGAAGCCCTCCCCCCCAGACGCTGCCTGGGGCCTGGTCTCCTCCTTGCCGCTCTGTCCTGCTCCTGCTGTGCAGGTGCAGTCCCTAACACACCCCAGGGAAGACCTCCCAGTTGCCAGGGATGGGCAACTCCGCTCCGCTCCCTCTGTGGATCCATCTCCCAGTATAAACTCTGGGGCCCAATTTCCAGACTCCAGACCTGGCTCCGCCACTTGCCGACTGTGTGCCCTTGAATCACCTTTTGGTGCCTCAGTTTCCATAGCTGCAGACCAAATAACGGTACCAAGCACATA